GTTGATTACACCCCACTTTGGCTATGGGGGTGTGTCAGAATATTATGCTCTAGCCTGTAGTGGGGTGCTCTATAGCGAGTACAACCCTTCTAGGGTTTGCTATTTGTATCCCCATTCTTGCTAGTGTAACCCCTCCTTTCTTCATTCTTACTTTCTACTGCTAGTTATGACTGTCAGAGGTCCACTGGTGATCCCCGATGATCCTAGGGAAGGGTTACAGGCACGTCGGCCTGGGGGGTTATGGGCGCACTCACCCGCTATATAAACAAGCCCTTTTATCCCAGTGGTTAGTGACTGGGATTCTGACATGGTATCAGAGCGAAGGTCTCGGGTTCGATTCCCGGTGTGTGCACCTCGGGCATCCCAGTGCGGGGGGGTGTCAGAGGTCCACTGGTGATCCCCGATGATCCTAGGGAAGGGTTACAGGCACGTCGGCCTGGGGGGTTATGGGCGCACTCACCCGCTATATAAACAAGCCCTTTTATCCCAATGGTTAGTGGCTGGGATTCTGACAATGACAATTTCTTGTACACCTCGAATACTACATAAGGACAATTATTTAGTTCAGTGTTACTGCTATTTCAAAGGCGACTAACTCTACAAACCAAAACATTGCGCGCAGGTGTCGTAAATCAATGAGCATTTTAGCGGAGCATCATCGTGTGGTTCCAGCACTGCATCTCCTCTGCATTGTTGTGTGATTCGAGGCAGTCATGAATCCAACCCCCCCCCCTGCTACCCTCCTGTCCCTCCATATCCCCCAACCATCTTCCCTTTGCATACTCCCTTCCCTCCTCCCTGTTCCCTCTCACCTCCTCAGCCGTAATCACTTTTGCTCGAGCGTCGTATCTGCAATTTAGAAATTCAATTTTCGATTTTTGAATTTCCCCTTCTTCTCCTTGGCCAGGTATAAATGAGGTATAGTTAAGCTGTATGTACGCTTTATGCAAATTCAAAAAAAATCGTTTTTTTTTTTTTTGAAACAACTCTAGATACTGCATTCAATACAGGGTCAATTCAAAAAATTTAATGTATCTACATTTCATTCCGTATAACAACTTTTTTTCGTTTGTTCACTACAGTGCATTTTTATTTAGCTTATTCAAATCTATATATGCGCAATTCGTTGTGGTCAACCCTCGTTAACAGTATGTTTTGAAGCGACTTTCAGAATGCATTGTTAGAATGTGTAATTTCTATATAATTGCATGTTTAGTTAGTTAGTGTAGTATCACCATATCTTGTTTAGGTGGTCTACCTCCCTTCACCACCTCTCGTTTCCTATAACTTGTACCATTGTCATTAGTGCAACCACTTCAGTTAGCCAACCCTCTCTTCCCTAAACTCTAGCCTCCTAGTTCTAATCTTAACATGGTTTCAGAGCTGGTTCTTTCCTAGAACCTTCATTTTTTTTTAAGATCAATGGGCCCACCTGTCCCTATGGCACACCACGACCTTCCCGCCTCGTCCCGTCCCCTGCCCGTCGCGTCGCGCTGCCCATCCCGTTCCCTGCTCGTCGCGTGCATTCCCGTCACCGCGGCGCCCGATTCCCGTCGCCGCGGACGCCAGCGCCAGCGCCAGCGCCAGCGCCCGGCGACGAGCACCAGCCGCGAGCGCCAGCGACCAGCGACAAGCGCCAGCGCCAGCAGCTCCGTACGCCGCTCCCCCCTTCCCTTCTGTGGCTTCTGCCATGGGGGAGGGGGAGACGTGGGGGTGGCGAGTGTGAACCGCAAGCAACCTGTCCCTCCCCTCTCTCTTCCTGTCTCCCTGCAGTAGGATAGAAGTGGGGGGAGGAGAGGTTAACGAGGGACAGGGAGATGTGGGGGTGGCGGGTTCGACATCAGCTGCCGGTCCCTCCCTTCTCTCTTCTTCTCTCCCTGTAGCACGTGTTGCTGTAGGGGGGGGGGGGGGGGGGGAGGGAGGAGAGATATTAATGGGGGATTAGAGAGAGAGAGAGAGAGAGAGAGAGAGAGAGAGAGAGAGAGAGAGAGAGAGAGAGAGAGAGAGAGAGAGAGAGAGAGAGAGAGAGAGAGAGAGAGAGGTTCGCATTTTCCCTTGTCTATTCCCTATCCGTTGTATCTGGGCGCCGTCGTTCCTCGTCGCGCGCACTCACCGGGCATCCGCTGTGGGGGTTAAACCGCAGGCGGGCCACCGTACTCGGCGGTTTGCCCAGCTGTCGGCACGGTGTTGTGACCCTTCGAGATGAACCCCTACCCTAGCTATACTAGCATGCAATTAAGGGGGGATGTTAGAATGTGAAATTCTGATATAATTGCATGTTCAGTTAGTTAGTGTAGTATCACCATATCTTGTTTAAACGGTCTACCTCCCTTCACCACCTCCCGTTTCCTATAACCTGTACCATTGTCATTAGTGCAACCACTTCTCTTGCCCAACCCTCTCTTCCCTAAACTTTAGCCTCCTAATTCTAATCTTAACATGCATTTGTATGATTTTGAATAACCCAATTGATCCGTTTGAAAATGAATTGTCACGTTTAAATAGGTAAGATTTGGCCTGAAATCGGATGGCCCAGCACACAATAGAAAAAAAAATTGCTACGAACTTTCATGCCCCAATTGTCATGCGTGTGTTCGCCCAAAACTCCCAAACCAACTTGAAGGGCTTGGGAGAGTTTCTCTGCACCAATCGGTACTTGACAGATGTGTCACAAACCAATTGCAAATCTAGGGAAAGTGCCAAGAATCGAAAACTACTGTCATCGCCCGGATATAAGACAATGTTGAATAGAAGATACGGGATGTCTTTTATACGGATGTATCTTATAGTTGTGTGTTCCTGATTATAAGACACCTGTATGTGTGTACGTTTAAAGGCAGTGTCTTCTAAACAAAACTAGGGGAGTGTCTTCTAAAAGGGTAATGTCTTCTAAACGGTCCTTAGTGCATAAATGGGGGTACATGCATGCATTTAACAATTGCTACTTCTACCTAGCCCCCCTCCGCAACGCCCTCCTCATATACACTAGCAAATGCAAGCTCCTGCACCCCCAAGTCTGGCACTCGCCAGATGTGCCTGGCCGTCTGCCTGGGCTCGATCATGCGGTCAGCCTCGGCCGCTGCTCAGCGGTAGTTGGGGGTCCCCTAGTATAGCTCCTCCAACCCTGTTGCCACGCCGACCTCCCTGATGCCCTCCACCTACATCTCCTCCTCCTCTGGAACCTGCCCAAGCAGGCGCGTGTTGTCGGCCGTGGTCCCCTGACGCCCATATCTTCGGAGACATCGGTGGTGCTCCTCGCACGCAGGTGAGACATCACCAAATGGTTGTCCGTCCCGTCCAGCTTGCTTGATATACCATAGTGGCGGAACACGTCAATGATGATCTTCATAGGGACTTGTTCTCAGGCCTCCGCGATCCACTGCAGCACCACGGGGTGCGGAGGCATTCTCAGGTTTCCTGCGGATGAGTTAGAGGCAGAAGAAGCATGCCGTTAGATATATCAAGGGGTAACAGGGGTGAAGTTTATGAAGTTTACTCACCTTGTTTTGTCTTCAGATAAATACCTTTACGCCTTAACCACCTAGCGTAGCGTGCTTGCACCGCGGCCTTGAAGCACTAATTGATAGAGCCGTCTAGGGGTTGACTTTGTCTAGTGCAACTGGCACGGATTATGGCAAGGGTGATGTTGTGTGTGCGATAGGTTTGAAGCATGCCCTGGGTGATTTGGCTCAGTAGGAGTCCAACACTAGCATCGCACGCCTCACGTTCTAGCCGTGCTGGGAGTTGAGATGGGGCAGCACCTCCTTAATCAGCCATGTTTGCACAGCGCTCTCATCCATCCACCCGTTATCCTGTGCTTGGGCCACGACTCCTGCTAGGCACTGAGAGAGAGAGAGGCGTCAGCGAAGAAGGGGAAACTCAACACTCTTGAAAACATGAGTTTGTTTTTCTTACCTGCCAGAATGTTACATCTCGGCATGTTCTTCAGCTTAAACCAAACCCACGGGCCACGGTGGTCAAGCGTCCTCTCGGCCGGCATCTCAACGAAGAAAGCATCTGGTCTGCGTTGATGATGCGGGCCATGTCGATGTAGTGCTGTGCACTGTTGATTCTCACTAACTTCCAAAACGCCTCACAGTCTTAAGCGCACTCTACCAAGGAAAAAAAAATTCACAGAAAGAGAGGAAGGTTGAACATTTGAGGTCTTTAGAATGCTAAGCACATACAGTCGACAATCCATTGTGAATTCCACCAAAAAACCACTAACCAGCTGACAACCGTTGGCCAACCTTGGTCTTCACATGCATGACCAGGTTCCAGAGGTCGCAGAAACGTTGACTCCAGTGCGGGCTCGCGTTCCAGTTCTTCCCGAGGTGGTGTTTCTTCATCCACTGGCGGCTCCACTTCTGAGTGTCTTTCACCAAGATTGCCATATCATTCACGTCTGCAGGTAGTTGTACTTGTACAACGCCGCCTCCTTGTCGGGGTAGTGTGAGTGGCGGCCCGCTCGTGCATACGCTTGTGTCAGTCTACCGCACCCTTGTACATGCATGCAGCAGCCTGCGTGCTCCAGCGTCGGATGCACGCTACGGAGGCAGAGGATTTAGTGGTGGTATCTTGAGGGAACCGAGCTCCTGGAAGCATCGCGCCCACTTGAGCTCTTGCACACGCTCCATGATCGCCTGGTCCTTTTAATACCGCGACTGCGCGGGGAAGGGGGATGGGAGTCAGCATTACAAAGGATGGGGGCTTTAACCTTCTCAGGGTATGAAGGAATGGGGCCCGCAGCCTCTGCATATTCATCGTCGCTGCCGAGTGCCTCGTTGACCACGATGTCGTCTTTGCATTTCTGGAACCCAGGTCACCATCGTTCTCCCACTTCTTGTTGCTTGTGAAGTGACGACCCAAGGCTTAGCAGGGACCTCCACGACCTTACTCTTCCCCTTGTCTGCAGCACTGAGGCGCGGTCAATGCTCCTCCACCGGGTTGTCGTTGTCCAAGAGCACCACCCTGGTGTGTTAAACGAAGACGCGTACGCAATGACGCAACTTCCTTTTCAACAGAGGAACCGCGTCGTCGGTGATGCACCACGGGTCGTTGTCGCTTTCTTCACCTTCGAACAAGACGACATCCCGGCCAACATCAACACCACCCGCATCTTCATCGGCATCCGCGACAACGACCGTATCTGCATCTACATCCGCATCCGCGAAAACGTCCGCATCCACATTTGCATCCACTCCGCATCCACTTTTGCTTTCGCTTTGTCACCTACATCCGCATCTGCCGTCACTCCTGCAGGCATATCCTCCATCGCCGACGTTGTCGCTCCCGTAGGCACATCCTCCGCTGTCGCCGCCGTAGGGGCTTGCACCGTCACATGCGCCGCCGCATCAGCATCCTCACGATCAGCATCCGCATCCGCGCCTCCGTCGATGTCCGAGTCACCGGCGTTCCACTCTTCCAGTTCGTCGTCGGAGCCAATCGGCTGATTTCACCATTCGGCATCGTCGATGTCACCCTCAGGTATGTCTTCATCCGATGCATTGCTGTCATGCCCGTTCTCCTTCCAATCCTCCTCGCCGTCATCGCCATGGTCTTTGTTGTCTTCGTCCTCGTTACAGCTCGCACCTGAGCCAGCGTTAAAGCATCCCTACTTGGATGCCGAATTGTCCGTCTCTTTTGCCATAGCTACATGGATGTCGTTACCGGGCGAGGGGACGCCGTGCCTACAGGGACTTTGCTACGCATGGTTCAACCAGCCGAAAGCACAAAATAAAGCCCCAACCCGAGTACCCCCCCAGCCATAGTGCCCTTTCCTGAGGCTGCTTGTGAGGATCGAGGATCGAGCTCAGAAAAGTGGGTTTGAAATTAATGATCCACCTGGGTACAAAACAAGGCTATATATAGTCTCGACACAATACCCAGGTGTTACGCGAAGGTTTCGAGGGTCGCAAAGCGTCCTGAATAGAGCCTTCCCGAATTCAGTAGAAGGCAATTTGGTGGCAAACGAAAAGCCTGGAATTCGGTGCACGCAACCTAGCTCGGTGCTATAACTATATTAAAATACAGTAATGCACCTAACCTAGGAAATCAAGCAAAAGCATGCATGCATAAAATAAACCTAAGCTAGAAATAGCACAACAAAGTCCAAGCAAGCTATCAAAACCAGCGTAAGTCGTCGTACTCTCGCACATCCCCCCCTTAAAGCTGAGTGGCGTGAGAAAAACCTTGCTTGAAAAGATAGTCCTTAAGAGCACGGTGGACCTTGCCCATATCAGCTTCTGCAACCCAACTGTCCTCAGTGGGGTCGTATCCCTTCCAGCGTATCAGGAGCTCGAAGATCTTGCGCTGCGGTGCCGATGAGTGAGAGCACGCTCCACATCGTACTCTAGTTCATCCTGTACGAGAACAGATGGTGGTGGAGGTAGCTGACATCCCTGGAACTATTGGTTGGGGTCATTGTAGGGTTTCAGTAGTTGAACATGGAAAATGTTGTGAAACTTCTACGTAGTAGGTAAGCGCATGCGGAATGTTACTGGTCTCACCTGTGCCTCAATAGGAAAGGGACCACAGAAGTGAGGCCAGAGCTTGGATGGTAGGTGAGAGAGGTTCAAGTTGCGTATGTCGAGAAGCACCTGATCTCTTACTGCTATTGAGTGTTCTCGTCGCTGGCAATCGGCATACTTCTTTTAGGAGTTCTGCATTGTGGTGAGACGTCGCTGAGTCTTCTCCCATAGCTGCTGCATGGGTGACGAAGTCCTGTGCGGCTTGGACGTTTGCCTGTGTGGTTGTTTGCTGTGGTGTGAGTGGTTCCCGTCCGTAATACAAGAAGAAATGAATTTTCCCTGTGGCCGCATGTGAAGCGTTGTTGTAAGCGAACTCAAGTGTTGGTAATAGTGAATCCCAGTGGCTGACGTCGTCTTTGCAAGCTGTGCGCAGTAACTGTTCAACCACCTGATTGAGTCGCTCCGTTTGTCCGTCAGTCTAGGGGTGGTATGCGGAAGGCATCGCAAGCTTAGTCCCCAACAGTCCCATGAGCTCCTTCCAGAACTTACTAGTGAATTTTGGGTCTCTGTCTGAGATGAGTGTAGCGGGGATGCCGTGGATGGTGATGATGAGACCAAAGAAGAGGCGAGCTGCTGCTTTAGCTGTAGCCCTGTCGTTGTTCGGAATGAATTGACTCATTTTAGAGAACTTGTCGATCACTACGAGGATGGCATCATGCCCTCGTGAGGTCGAAGGAAGTCCCGTGATGAAGTCGAGGCTAACAACCTGTCATTGCTACTCTAGTACAGGTAGAGGCTGAAGTAACCCTGCTTTTTTCTGCTTGCTACTCTTCATCCGCTGGCACGTGTCGCATGAGGTGACAAATTGCTGCACGGCTGTTGCCATCTGGGACCAGTTGTAATACTTTGCTATCCCTGCTAACGTCTTGTTGCTCCTGAAATGTCCTGCATATGGAACGTCGTGGAACTCCTTCAGTAGAATCTGTTGTAGTGGGGCGTAGTTCGGTACCCAAAACTTTCTTGTTCCCTTCCTCACAACTAAGTCCTTCTCTCACTGTAACACCTTCTGTGTCTGTGCTGTAGCGATCTCTGCATCCACGGAGTACCCAAACCCTTAAGCAGAGGGTTCATCCCATCGAGCTGGATGCCTGCTACATGACCGGGGCGGCTCAACGCGTCAGCTTTGTTGTGTAGCCCAGGTTTGTAGACGATATCGTAGTGGAAATGTGTCTCCAAAAAGTCCACCCACCGCACCTGTCATCGCGAGAGTGTTGGCTATGACTTAAGGTACTAGAGACTGCAGTGGTCAGTGTAAACTGTAGTCTTGGCTACCTCTAGGTAACACCTCTATGCCTTGAAGGCTATGACTATCGCTAAGGCTTCCTTATTATGAATGGGATAGTTCAGTTCGGCCCTGTGTAGCTTTTTACTAACGTAGGCGATGGGCTGCAAGCCGTGTCCGTGATCCTGCATTTGTACTACTCCGATTGCCTGGTCACTAGCATCTGCTGCCACCACATAGTCCTTGTGAGAAAATAAACATAAGCTAGAAATGGTATAATGAAGTTCAGCAAGCTAGCAAAGCCAGCATAAGCCATCGTACTCTCACACTACCGAGCCGCTCCTCTACGAGGAATCTCCTCGTAGAGGATATCACATGAGAGCTCTCATGATGCCATCGTACTGCTAGCATCGTTCTAGAAGCATCCATGTGTTGTTGGCAACAAAATGACACTAGCAACATCATCAGATGCTGCTAACAAGGAGGGATGTTGCCAGCACATGCAGCTTCGCTGCATCCCTTACGTGGCACGTGGTGGAGACGCATGCATCGCCACCAAGGTCGGCGGAATTCAATGAATCTGCCCCGTTGGTGATTTATACAAACTTTGCAAATGTTACAGAGTTCATTTTTTTTCTTCCCCTTTTATAAAACTTATAAGACAGCATAAACCATCCCACATAGAAGACAATCCAAGCATTTTTTCTAGAGTATAAGTTAAGACAGTCGTGAAGGTACACGCCAACAAATAGTTCCCTACTTGTTTCCCACACCCATCAAAGTTGCAATGTGCTTTGTTATAATCAATCTTTTTGTGAATCATTTTGAGTGAGCATTGCTCTATCAACGTATTGACATGAAGAGCTAATTTTAAATACGAGCCAATTCATCGTCAACGCTGCACAAATGATTCTGGGAGTACTCTGTCAGAATCCCAGCCACTAACCACTGGGATAGAAGGGCTTGTTTGTGTAGCGGGTGAGTGCGCCCATAACCCCCCAGGCCAACGTGCCTGTAACCCTTCCCTAGGATCGATCGGGGATCACCAGTGGACCTCTGACACCCCCCCGCACTGGGATGCCCGAGGTGCACACACCGGGATTCGAACCCGAGACCTTCGCTCTGATACCATGTCAGAATCCCAACCACTAACCACTGGGATAGAAGGGCTTGTTTGTGTAGCGGGTGAGTGCGCCCATAACCTCTCAGGCCAACGTGCCTGTAACCCTTCCCTAGGATCGATCGGGGATCACCAGTGGACCTCTGACATACTCTAATGCACATAATTGACTTTACACTTAGGGAAGTCCCTCGACAAATGGATCATTTGTTAGGGGCTGGTTGTGCCTGCCAGGCACCCGAGTACCCTTGGAGGTGACCCCGTATATTAGAAGTATGCTTACAGCTTCTAGACAGTATTAGAGTAAATTTTGTATTTTTGTTAGCCAGCACGTGAGTGAACAGATCGTATTTCATGCAAAAAAAAAAAAAAAACAAGAGGCGACGAAATCGTCTTAGGGTTGCGAAGCGTTTTGCATAGCTACATTCATTGTTATTTAGTATGAAAGTGAGTGTACTTGATGCGATTTGAAACATGTTCTAAAATTTTAATTGTAAGATTCAAACATTGGACCTCTCGGTTGCTAACTCGAACTCAAACGACTAAGCTAAAATTATTGGGATTACTTGTCAGTTTAGTTTATTCGAAAGATTTCGGCGTGACGAACTCAACACTAGCTTAGGGTTTGTTTTGCCCTTTTGTCTCCCTCCCTTTCCTTTCGCCAATGCGGCTAGGTTACTAAAAGGGTCTCTTAAGACATATTGCTAAAAGGGTCTCTTATAAACGTAACATCCAATTTTGAGTCGCTGCTTGTATTGAAGGCACCGCCTGTATTCAATTCGGCACTATCTTATATCCGAGCGATGTCGGTTTAAAAAAAAAAAATCAATTTGTAGTACACCATCACCATTCAACACTAAGAAACTAAAGTTCCAAGGATTAAAGCACATGTGCGATCATTATGGGAAACATCAGCAACTCTTGATTGGCTTCAATTGTAGCCAATTCTCGAGGCTATCACTTATCGAGGTAATGCCATAAATGAGCTTACACCAAAATGTGAGCCATGCGACTGCTCATAATCCCTCCCACCATCTCCAAACGACACAGCAGAAACACTCCTTGAAGACATATCCTTGTTGGTTGCACTCTCTCCTTCTGCGACACCCTCCCACTCCTCCCTGTTGGGACAATGCTTGTCAATGAGGGCACTGAGGCGGTATGCCACATCCTTCATGGTGGGTCGCCGTGTGCCGGGAGACTTGATGCAGTCCAGAGCCAGGTCTGCAAAGTCCACTATGGCCTCCTCGCTTGCCGCTGGCATCTTTCTGTCCCTCAGCTCATCCAGCTCATATGCCTCTACCAGCTTTACTGCCTGGATGGCGTTCACACAAGGAAGGATGAGGAATGAGGGAGGCAGCGCAAAGCAGCATGATTAGCAGCAAAAGAGTGGAAGGAAGAATGATAACAACCAAAGGCAGAGAAATCCATGATGAACAGTATTCAGATGGATAAACATGCAGAACATTAGTATGCATCTGAGATTTTACGGGCATACCCATTCTCTTGTATTCGGTTTAGTTTTGTTTTCTCATACGTGATGAGCATACCCATTTTCTTATATGTGTTTTTGCGTCGACTTGCGGAGACTTTCCACTCAGCAACTGAAGAAGCACGATTCCAAAGCTGCAAGCAATAATGTGATTGGACATACAAGAATAAACTTCGAGATAAATAGACAGGTAAACACAAAACAATACGAAGTACAATCCTGTGGTGAGCAACAGAATTCAAAGACAAAAAAAACAAAAACAAAAACAAAAAAAAAAACAAAAACAAAAAAAAGGAAAAGATGCACGATACTGACTGTTGTGCAAAGGAATAAGCACGCGCACCTGAAGACATCACTCTTGGCAGTGATGACGTTGGTGCGAACGTAGTCCGGATCCACATAGCCAGGGGTGCCAGCCACTCGCGTGGCATCAGCATCGCCGTGAGTGAGGCGCTTGAGCAGCCCAAAGTCAGCCACCTTGGCTTGCATGTCTGCCGACACAAGGATGTTGGCCGGCTTGATGTCACGGTGAATGATGGGTGTCTCAAACCCATGCAGGTATGCCAGGCCCTCTGCTGCTCCCTGTGCTAGGCGCAACCTCTGGCGCAGCGAGAGCGGATCTGAATGGGGCATGAAATAGGTATATAAAGCAAGCAACGCACTTTCATGAGTGATGGTACCGCAACAATGGATATCCATGGAACCCATTTAGCCATGGTGGCAGTGCAACTCACTCTTGGTGGCATGGATGTGGTAATCCAGGTCCCCATTGGCCATGAACTCGTACACGAGGATCTGCTCCTGCTTGCCCGTCTCCACGTTCTGGTCCAGGCAGAAGCCCAGCAGGCGCACGAGGTGTGTGTGGTGGAGAGAGGCCATGGCTCGCACCTGCAGCGAGCGCACATGGAAAGACGAGCGTTATGCCACATGCTAAAGGTCAGCTTTGCCAAAGGTTCTGTTTTTCCGACATGCTATGTGGGCGGAACGCAGAGAATTAGACATATGCGGACCTCCGTTTCAAAGTCGTTGGTCATGATGGTGGAGCGCTTGACGGCCCACAGCTGGCCCTGAGGCGAGCGGCCTTTGTAGACAGCGCCAAAGCCACCCTTGCCCACCACATTGTCTTCTGACCAGTTGTTGGTGGCATTCAGCATCTGCTGCAGCGAGAACTGCTCACACACATCCAAACCCTCCCACTTCTCTGCGCACACAAAGGAATAGTTTCGACTTGGATCCAACGGTCCTAACTCGCTCTATTTTCCTCTAGGCTGAGTTAAGGCTAGTAGGGAATGAATAGGTAAGAAGTTTGTCATTCAAACCTGAGCGTACGCGTTTCGGCCAGTGGCCTTCATCAGCGCTCTCAGAATTACAAGAAGGACTACCCCTTATCTACTCCCATCTACCTTGCCCAACACTCAACCAAGAAACAAAGATCCAGAGCGGCTCGTCATTGCGGCTCGCTAGCTGGCTGTACAAAACATTTTGCAATACAATTCAACATGCAGGTTGGTGGGACGAATTCAATCCCATCAACTTATGAGGGTGGTGTGTCCCCGTTTTCTGAAACCTCGCTTTTACCAAGAGGTTGCGTATCCTCTTTGGTAGGCGCCAGCACACTAACATCCGTGGGAGGGAAATTTGTTGCAGCGTATGTTTTTTGAGAATTCTCAAAAAACCCCCCAGCCCTAAGTCCAAAGTCCTTGGACACCTTCTTACCTTTAGAGACTGGGGGACTTCCCTCACTTTGTGTTGTTGGCACTTGCGAAGAAGAGTCGGTCTGTCATGATGCTTAACGCTGTTGAAAATGGGCCTGAGAAAGTGATCAGGGTACCCTCTGGCCTTCAGCCTCTCAAAGAAGAGGACTTTCCTCTCCCAGAAGGTCTTGAAAGATGAGTTTCGTAGACAGTGGCGTTTCAGCTCACTTGTGATGAATCCCCTCTTACACTCCTTGGAGTGAAAAGAAGAGAAGGGGATGTACAGATACCGATTCATCGGTTTCTGAAAGCTAGCCACATCCATAATTCTGATTTTGTGGAAGCGTTCCCCTTTGTAGAACTGTAGGTCGAGGAAGTCGATTTTTTCCTCGCTGATTTCCCACGTCAACTCGATCGTGGGCCGAAGGGAGTTTAAGGCTCCTAAAAATCCCTGAATAGTCTCTACACTCCCCTCCCAAATGATGAACCCATCATCTATGTATCTAACATGGCATAGTGGCTCGATGGTCACCTTCCGCGTCAGCTCCTCGTCTAGCCAGCTCATATAAAGGATGGCGAAGACAGGAGCAACCGGGGTTCCCATTGCCGTACCCCTAACCTGTTTATACACAATGTCATCAAATTGTACATAAGAATTACACATCACCCATCTAAGAAGAGAAATGATCAATGGTCTAAGAGGATGCCTATCCTTGTTGAGAATCCTGTCCACAGCTTCAATCCCCTCAAAAATTGGGATAGATGGATACAAGCTGCTCACATCATACGTGCACAGAACCACAGAGGAAGGAAACTGCTGCTGCTCCAGCTGAAGGAGGAGGCTCTGGCTGTCCCGAAGGTAAGTCTTCTGCTTTAACACCAAGGGACGAAGTTGACAGTCCAGCCATCTAGAAGCATTGGCAGTGATCCATGAATGGGAGGCCGCAATCGGTCTTCCAACAGGCACTTTCTTATGCATCTTCAAAAGGATGTAGAAGAAGGCAGGTTGCCAACCTCGGGTTGGAGATTTCTCCAAGAAATCCCATGTCTTTCTTGGAAGGCACAGGAGAAACTCAAACCGAATGCGGGAGAGAGTTTCCATGATTAAAGACAAGGGAACGGTGTCCACCTGCCTATAAACCTCTGCATCAGAAAGGTGAGCAAGTGCCTGCTGCTGATAAAAGCCTCTATCCATCACCGTGATTCCTAGGTTCTTATCGGCGGGTTTCACAACAATTGAATCACCGGAAGCAAGGGATCTCAAAGCATGTCTCACCATGTGAGAGATGTTTGAGCTAGCCCTAGGAGGAGCCTTCAACAAACTTTGTTGAAGCACCTCCCTCTGTTGCTGCATCATACTCTCAAGAAACATGTTCCTTTTATCCATAGGAACATCCCAAGAGGGGTTAGGGATCCTAAAACTCTTGGGTAGCTCCGAATCTCCAAAAAAATCTCTCAGTCTCAAATTGCGGCAGAAACAGTCATAAGCAAAAAGTACCTCTTCATCAGATGTGAATTGGGATGCAGTCGGTGTCAGGATGAAGTTCAGCCCCAGCGCTAATGCTTTCTCTTCAACTGCTGTCAGTTTCCGGCTGCTTATGTTGAAGATGCCCCTATTCCTAACTCTCCGTTTGAGCTGAGATTCTGTCATTTGCCCAAAATAGAAGAGTTGGAGATCTCGTTCACTGAGCTCCCTTAGCTCCTGCCCCATAAATTGCCTCTGCCCTGAAACCTTCCTCCTCCTCCGTATCCGTCTCCTCTTCCTCCGCCTCTTCCCCAGCCCCTGCCTCTCCCTCCCCTCCCCCTCCCTCCTCCGTTTTTTGGAAATCCAGAATCTAGAATTTGGAGTCCCTGAGACCCATAATCGGGAGAAGGTTGCCGTTGATTGGTCCACGCTCCGGGTGAAGGTTTAGTCGAGTACTGGTTGGTGGACTGCGGTTGCGAATGCTGCTGTCGAAGCATCTGTTGCTGCTGAGTTTGCTGTTCAGTTGGCTGTGCTTGTTGCAAAGCCTTTGGAGGTGCCTGTTTCTGTACTTCCGACTTCTTGAGTAGCTGTTTCTCCACTGCCTCAAGTCGCTTGGCAAGGTCAGAGTTTGACTTGTTAACAATCTCCGACACTGTAGGTTCCACCTCCATATTCTCGGCTGTTGCTTTAGCAGAAGATTTGCGTTCTGTCTCACGCTGTGCTGCTTCTTGCTCATTGATGTAGGAGATGGTTGCATCAACCGTGATGGTCTTAATCCGTTCCGCGAACATGGCCAGCAGCTTCGGTTCCCAGCGACTAAAGCTCTCAGTGAAGATGGCTGAAGGTCCCATTTCACGGATCTTCTGCAGCTGCTGGCGAAACTCTTCCTGAGCTGTGCCCAAATTGGCTGTCAACTTCTGCAGCTCTTTATCATGGAGTTTGATAAGGGTGTCGAAACATGTCTTGTGATATTCACGTTCCAGCCTCTTAAACTCCTCATCTCCCTCCATCTTGATTGCCGGATCATTCCCCAGGTATGTCATTGGTGCTGATTTAAAGCCTTTGGGAAGTCTCCCCTCCTGAAACATCTGCTTCAGCCGCTTCACCTTTGTTGTAAGCTTCAGCTGCTTCACCGTCCTATCACGAAAAACCTTGCAATAATGCTCGAGTTGATTAAGGAAGACATCCGGAATTTTCTCCCCAAGGTTTGAGGAGATACTCCCAGCAGATGTGGAGCACTGTGGTAATTTCTGTGCAGACAAAAAGGCTTCAAAAGTAGTCGCAAATAGCTGTTGCTGCTGCTGAAACCAATGTTGCTGCTGTACACGAAATGCCTCTTGCGATTCCCCAGACCCTCCAACTGTAGAGGGATTCACTGCTGCATGTGTCGCAGCTGCATGTGCCGCGGATTCTGCAGCTACTCGCGCTGATTCCGCAGCTGCCGCGGCCGTCGCCTGCGCCTGTGCTGCTTCCGCTTGTTGCATCGCGTGCGCATGCGCCTGTGCTGCTTCTGCTTGCTGCATCGCGTGCGCATGTGCCTGTGCTGCCTCCGCTTGCTGCATCGCTTCTTCTAGCGATGGAATAATTGCCTCAGAATCTTCGTTCGAATCTGGAACGATTTCGATCTGTACTAACTTTGTCACCGTCGGATCTGCAAAATCTTGGATCGAGACTGAATCAGCCCGATTTTTTGCGGTCAAAGTCCCTGCGACGGGATTCTTAGTTACGCCCGTAGCGGAGAAATCTCTAATCGCTGGAGAAAGATCTTCAATTGCAAGTGGTAATTCTACGCGAGATCCGGGTAACAGAGAACTAGCAGTGACAAAACCTGGTAGTTGTGGTCCAACGGTCGTAATCTTCTTATCTATATGAGCGGGTTTCCCAAACCGTCTAGGAAGCGTAACCTCCGGCGATCTCTGCTCAGAAGTACGTTTCCCGCGGTTGTCGTCAGTCATAACCTTCTAACACGTTTACTACTAAGAACGAGTAGTCCGGGCTCAACAGGTCCTGAAATTCGAAGAGATAATCTCTTGAAGCACAAAGGAATAGTTTCGACTTGGATCCAACGGTCCTAACTCGCTCTATTTTCCTCTAGGCTGAGTTAAGGCTAGTAGGGAATGAATAGGTAAGAAGTTTGTCATTCAAACCTGAGCGTACGCGTTTCGGCCAGTGGCCTTCATCAGCGCTCTCAGAACTACAAGAAGGACTACCCCTTATCTACTCCCATCTACCTTACCCAACACTCAACCAAGAAACAAAGATCCAGAGCGGCTCGTCATTGCGGCTCGCTAGCTGGCTGTACAAAACATTTTGCAATACAATTCAACATGCAGGTTGGTGGGACGAATTCAATCCCATCAACTTATGAGGGTGGTGTGTCCCCGTTTTCTGAAACCTTGCTTTTACCAAGAGGTTGCGTATCCTCTTTGGTAGGCGCCAGCACACTAACATCCGTGGGAGGGAAATTTGTTGCAGCGTATGTTTTTTGAGAATTCTCAAAAAACATACGCTGCTGCAGCGAGAACTGCTCACACACATCCAAACCCTCCCACTTCTCTGCGCACACAGAAGTAGAGTGATCGACCACGGGTGTAGACGAGTGGGAAGAGCATGACGGCAGTGAAGAGGGAGAGTTGTATGGCAGAAGCAATGGCAGAGAGCAGCAAAGGATGGCAGCAAACAGGTACAAAAATGGGGGAGGAGCAGGGAATGGAAATGGTAGAGGGGCTCACTTGGACCGCGGGGCCACAGCCACCATGCGAGCACAACAGCCAGCAGTGTGAAGGCAGCAAAGCCGCCCAGAACAATGCCCACTATGGCACCCGTGGACAGAGAGGGCACTGCCAAGGCAGGGTAGGTTAAGGGGAACAATGAAGTGGTTAGGGGGAGGTGTCAAGATGATGAAGGGAGTGATAAGGTGTGGTTGCCAAAAGTATCATGACATGGATATGGTGCAGCTTGTATGAATGAGGCAGTGGTGTAAGAATGAGGCAGTGGTGTAAGAATGAGGCAGTGGTGTAAGAATGGGTTACCAGTGGCGCAGCAGCACATAATCATAACGCAGTGCTGAAAGAATGGGTTACCAGTGCACCAGCATGTAAGAAAGAGGCAGTGCAGTAATAAAGAAGCAAGGGGTACCAGTGGTGGTGTTGGAGTAGACAATGGCACACGTGGAGCCGTTGCCCGAGTCAACAGCGGTGTAGCCGGCATCACACAGGCATGTGAAGTTGGCGGGGGAGGCGGGGCCAGGCTGCACACACTCCCCATGGTCGTCACACGGGCCGTTGGCAGTGATGCTGCAGAACGCCTGGCAGGCTGCCGTGTTGCGCTGGGTGGCGTTGGAGGAGCACTTGGCATTCGGGCTGAGGGTCAGGCAGTTGCCCCACAGACTCACCCTCACCTCCCTGTCTGCGCTCGCGAGAGAGTTATCCATTTGACCCGTGAGATCGGGGTTGCTGCACTTGCCCCCAAACACCCACACCGAGGTGTCCTTGAGGTCCAGGTTGTTGGGCGCGCTGATCTCAGTGGGGCAGACCTTGCAGCCGGCAGCAAAGAGCACGGCTTCCCCAAAGAAGAAGTTGTTGGCGAGGTTGATGAGCGCCCTGCCATCCGCCACCATGTTCTCAAAGTCACGGTTTATGCGCCCGTACAGACTGTTGCCACTCACATCACTGCGGGAAGCACGGGGGTGGCAATGAAGGCAGAAAAATATTTCGAGTGTTCGGTCAGAGTAGGTAGTCCCACCAGGGTGCTAACACCATACACATGCATCTCATCACTCGCTGGCATGCCCGTGTTGAGTGAGGGTGCATGGGTGGTACCATCGTTGCTCACATTTGGTTGATGCACTTGTCAAAGAGGCAGTCTGGAAGGGGTCCGTAGAGGTGGTTGTTGCTAATCAAGCTGCCAGCAGCCCAACACACACCAAGCCGCACCATGAGTCACACACCCATCCAAACGGGAAACACACTGAAAGTGAGACTGGTTCACACATGCTGTGAGAATCTAAAACCACGTCTACACTGTCCTGGCTGGCTCAGAATTTTCTCATTCATGCATGACATGCTTTCACATGCGCCTAAAACACTCACCGCGTGAGATGCGTTCACATGCGCCTAAAACACTCACCGCGAGAGATGCGTTCATATGCGCCTAAAACACTCGCATGCACCAAAGCCACTCACATTCGCCACAGGCTCACATGCGATAGTCACTCACAGGCGCCATATCCAGGGCAGAGAGCATAGGCTAGTTGGCAGAGGGCCTTCAATCTTGTTGTTGTCCAACCAGCTGTGGGGATAGGCAGGCAGGGCAGTGGCAGGAGGAAGGAAGGTGCCGATGGTGGCATGCAAAGGAGCAAGGTAGCGTGGGAATGGGGATGGTACAGGTGAGCTTGAGCATGTTTGCGTCCATAGTGAGGACGTTTGCTAGACTCGTAGCAACAATCTGCTGTACGCTTGTGCTTGTTCTGCGAGTATTACATCCGCGCTGCCAACGTTCTTGAGAAATGTAGGGGAGCACCCTCACTCACATCTGTTGGAGCTTCTGCAATCCACTGATGGCAGCTGGCAGACTGCCCGTGAGGTTGTTGTTGGCCAAGTAGCTGACACGGGCAATGGCAGGGAGACATTGCAATGATAAGCATCGTATGCAAGAGCAGTGCGGGCAAATGCAGGAAGGCAACACGGGGCAGAAGCGCATTGGAAACCCCTTTGAGGCTTACAGGTGTTTCAGATTCGTCATGGTGAAGATCGCAGAGGGGATGGTGCCCGTCAGTTGGTTGTTGTTTAGGAAACTGCAGGACATGGCAACAGGCACATTGGTTGAAGTGCGCACTGAGCAAGTGCAGGTGAAATGACAAGCATTACGGCTTGTTGTGGCACAAGAGGGCTCACATGCCGTCGAGGGAGGTGAGGGTGGAGATGGAGTCGGGAATAGACCCTGTGAAGTTGTTGCCGCTGAGATTTCTGAGCCCCACACAACACAGGCGAGGCGAGGCAGCAACAGGATAGCCTGATGTGAGTGGGGTGACTGCAACTGCTTACTATGGATGCAATGCAATGCATGGGAATGTGTGGCATGGATCCAATGGTGCTAAAAACAAGATTGCGCAAGTGATGGTTAGATTGGGGCAACGGGGAAGAGAGCGGGGGAAGGCTTGCTTACATCTGTTGACAGCTGATGTTCCAGCGTGAGAAGTCTGGTAAAGAACCCGTGAAGTCATTTCCTCCCAAGTCACTGCACAATGCACAAGGAGATGTGGATTCCAGGGGCGTGATAGCAAGGCATGACGGACAGCATTGCACCAAGCACGCAGTGGTGGCAGCACGCAGTGGTGGCAGCACGCAGTGGTGGCAGCACGCAGTGGTGGCAGCACGCAGTGGTGGCAGCACGCAGTGGTGGCAGCACGCAGTGGTGGCAGCACGCAGTGGTGGCAGCACGCAGTGGTGGCAGCACGCAGTGGTGGCAGCACGCAGTGGTGGCAGCACGCAGTGGTGGCAGCACGCAGTGGTGGCAGCACGCAGTGGTGGCAGCACGCAGTGGTGGCAGCACGCAGTGGTGGCAGCACGCAGTGGTGGCAGCACGCAGTGGTGGCAGCACGCAGTGGTGGCAGCACGCAGTGGTGGCAGCACGCAGTGGTGGCAGCACGCAGTGGTGGCAGCACGCAGTGGTGGCAGCACGCAGTGGTGGCAGCACGCAGTGGTGGCAGCACGCAGTGGTGGCAGCACGCAGTGGTGGCAGCACGCAGTGGTGGCAGCACGCAGTGGTGGCAGCACGCAGTGGTGGCAGCACGCAGTGGTGGCAGCACGCAGTGGTGGCAGCACGCAGTGGTGGCAGCACGCAGTGGTGGCAGCACGCAGTGGTGGCAGCACGCAGTGGTGGCAGCACGCAGTGGTGGCAGCGCACATTCGTTGCACTACTTACAGTGTGCTCAGAGAAAGGGCTGCACTGAGAGTCCCTGGGAGTTCCCCAGCAAAGAAGTTGTTAGACACTGCCCTGTGAAGGGATGGAGGGGAAGGGTATAGACGGAAGGCTGAAAGCAGCTGTTAGAAACCCAAGGAAACTGCCAAAGCACATCCATGCATTGTGGGCCCCAAAGCGATAGGCAAGTAGCTTCGAAAATGTAGAGAGACACATTCAAAGCAAGAAAAAGGAATGCTGATTCCAGATTCAGCACCTTGGCAGCAGAGCAGAGCACTTGCAAAGCACCATTCACCTATTCCTGAGGATAGGTGTAATCAGTTTGTATGTACTGTTTATGTAAAAAAAAAAAAAAAAAAAAGTTGAAGGCATCCCAAGGTGAAAGATGGAAGAAAGAGGCGTGATGGAGCAACTTACAGCGACGACAGCATGGAAAGCCGAAGTAGGCCGTACGGGAAGGTTCCACGGAACTTGTTGTCATTGAGATTTCTGGGAAATGGTATCAATAGCCTCAAAGTGACTTCATTCTTTCAAAAAGAAGGCAGACTTGCTAGGCATCCTCGACCCCCAGTCATTGCCCAACGTGGCGATTCTTCTCGTTCATGTCCTCCTCCCATCCCTTTTAGTTCCAGTACGCCATCCATCCTTTAATTCTAGAATCTAGTGCACCCATATAACCAGAAGTCGACTCACAAGCCACCTCGATGAACCTAAGAACGCAACACATCGATCCTGGGGGAATTGGTGTGTGAGGTGTACAGTAACTCCACAATATTGTTAATGTCAATGTATCCCTGTTTCATTAAAACTCGCAAAATGTTGCTGAAATTGGTCTCCACAATCGTGTACCCTCCAATTCGTGGGATCAGTGGGCCTCTAAGGCCACATCGAACACACGATTGATTGTGCAGGAATGCTGATCGCCGTCGCAAAATTCATATGCAGTAACAGGGTGACAACAAATGTTTTTGTGCGCGTTGTCCTTGCAGCGGCACTGTATGACACGCAAGCAAACCAATGCGATGTGCACGGTAGCATAATTCAATGGCCTTCGCCCCAAGCCTGCAATTCCCACGCTGGCCCATGGCCCATGTGGCTCGTGGGAGCAGCCGACAGTTCAGAAGCACGGTGTGGCGATTGATGCTCACAGGTTCGGTGCGTACACCCGATTCTCCTCCAACACTGCAAATATGACACGTCATAAAGATAACTGTGCCGTATTAAGGTGCCTCACCACTTACATATTCATCAGGTAGACAAGGTTGGTCAATCCGCGGGGGATAATCCCTGTGAAGCTGTTGTTACCCAAGTTCCTGCCATGGCCATTACCATTGTGATTCCACATGAGTTGCTCACACAGTTGTTTCAGAGGGTGCTGGAAGAAAGGTACTTGACATTTTGAAGGTGCGACACTTTTTTAATCTGGTCGACCCACTTGGAGAATGTGGCCGATTCGAGTCGCTCATCTGGTAGGTTTGACCCGACCAGGTCAACCCGACCACACCTGACCTGACTTTTGGGTCAGGATTTGCCAGCGCGTCGACTGACCCGACCCTAGGTATCTGCCAACCCATCCCTTCAGGACCGAGTAGAGAAAATCCTCAGCTTCACACCTACCCAGCCCCGCCTGAACAAAACCGGGTTGGGTCGGATCGGGTTGACCCATTGCCTTGCAACCCGCTCTTGTTCAAGGCCACGTGCGGGTGGCTTACAGGGATGCAAGAACCTTCTGGCGCAAAATAAAATCAGGAAAAGTTCCACTGAAGTGGTTGTTTCCAATATCCCTGAACAATGAGGCCCAGAAACAGTGTGTGTGTGGGGGGGAGATGATGAAACAAATACATGGAGCGTGTGGGAAAGCATGCAGGCGCTCATGTAAAGGCCACTGCACACACACGTGCACGAACAGGTGAGCACAAAACAATGGCCTCTGGCACTTGATGAACGCGTGAATAAAGGTGTGCATGTACACCACAGGAGGCAGCCCAACACTTGTAATTTTTGCACAAATGAGTACGTATACAATTCTTTTACGCACACAAGTGAGTATCCACCATAAATTGAAAAGAGATTATTCATGAATCGAGTATAGAAGCAGCCTCAATATTAGTCTCGATCCGGGCAGACACAATGCTAACTGTTGCTGCATCCCACCCACCCACCCAGTTAGGTGCTACAAAAGGTTGGTGAGAGATGGATGAATAAAATGGACTCACAGATAATAGAGGGCACTGAAAGCTGCGAAGGACGTTGGAAGTGCACCAGAGAAGTTGTTGTTATTCAGGTGTCTGCACAGCCAGTATAATAACAAAAATGTCGCAGATGTTGGAGGCAGCCAAAGTGGACAAAGGGAAGCGAGAGAAAGCAAGGAAAGGGCCAGTAGGATGCTGCTGAGGTGGCGAGAAGGGAGAACGCTGACATGGAACGAAGCCATGTCATCTGAGCCACTACTTCAAGGCCTGTGCTGAGATTGTTGGCTGCCATGTCTCTGTTGATTGAAGTGCACACACACACACACACACACACACACACACACACATGCACACACACACACATGCACACACACACATGCACGCACACACACACACACACACACACACACACACACACACACACGTGTGAAATTTCGGGTTTACGACAGGCCTGGTGCCGAGGTCAGAAATTGTTGAGGCAAACGACCAGAGCGCAGGTAACCAGCCGAGCCGTGATTGGGTCGCGATGTGAATAGTGGCGGAACAGTAGTTGAGGCGAGTGTCTCGAGGTGGTAACGGATTACTGTTTGGTACTGTTGGCGATAAGAGTCGTGTATGCTGTAAGCAGCGTCGTGAAGTAAGAGAAAGAAATTTTCCTTAGTTGTATTATAAGTAAATGCCAGGTCCTTTGTTTCACAAATCTCTCTGATTTAGTCACAACTTTACTCAAACAGTGTGACTTTTTGGGAGGCAACGAAAGCCTGGGAACGCAGCAACAAGGTAAAACAAGTCACAGCAATGAGCAGTTGATGCCCTGAAATCAATTCTGTTCATGCAGCAGCTCAGTGTAGTGGGGGCTGGGAGAGGTAGAAGGGGGCAGAGTAGCATGGGGAGAGACATACAGAGTGGTGAGGCGGGTGAGGCGGGTGAATGTGTTTGGGATGCCTCCAGTGAAAGAGTTGTAGGATAATTCACTGCAGCCAGGGCAGTCCGACAGCAACCATTCCAAATTGCAGAGAATGAGAGGGGGTGGCCACAAGCAACCAACACAACCTAGGTTCGTGTTGGCCAAACGTTTTCTGTTTAGCCCAGGACTGTCAAACTCGAAACGTTTTGACAGTCCGACCGACTAGGGTCCCTTCAAACTTCGCGGGTTTCGATCGGGCCCAAAAAAAACCCTCTCAATGTTCCCGTCAAAAGCGAAAAATGACCTAGGGTTGGTTGCCGTGCCCTCCCTTCCATCATTAAATGCGCCCTATCTTAAAGACTTGGATATTATGTACAGAATTCAACCTTTTTAAAAGGAATCAAGAGTAATCCGTTTCCTCCTTAGCTCCAAACCGTTTTCTGGACAGAAGTTTAGCCCAATCTATAATTATGGCAAATGGTGACCAGCCAGTTGATGGGGCTGTTAGAGAGCCCCACGAGGGGCCTACATTGGGTGGGCCGCCAGGTGCTCACACCCCCCCACCCCTGGGTCGGTTCACACCTTCAGGTGGGAACTCATCTTCGGGCACACCTTCATGGTCGTTTGGGGGAGCTATGAGATGGACTTCCATTCCCTTCTGTGTCGTGCATGTATTCACTTGACTCTGTCCTTGCAGACGGTCTTCTTAGCGGGCACTTAGACCCACCGTCCTAAACCTTGCTCTTTTATGTTTTTTGTGGAATTTCTGGTACTGTCTATTTTGTTCACACATCTCACTATACCATTAGCACCGTGCAACATCGTAATAATCCTCGTCATGCTTATGAAATGGACTGGCAAACCAAAATGAGTGAGTTTGCGGAATTTAAATAGTTTGACCGAACCTTTACGGCTCTCCCCAGTACAGTACAGTTCTATTTTTCTATCAAAGTTTGATCAAACATGTTCAGTTCGGTTCGGTTTAATGCAAAGGTTTGAAAAAATTCGACCAAACCGTTTAGAGTTTGGTTCCTGCTCAAAACCTAAGAAAGGGAGTGACACAAGCTTTGGGAATTGGTGCTAGACAGACAGTGCAGGTCGGAGGAGTGCCCGAGGTGCGAATGTCCATGGCGGCTTGAAGAAGAGTGCGTACAAATGGGCAAACATAGGGGGTCTCACAGTTTCACGAGGTCGAGCAGTGCCAGGTGTGGTGGGATGGGTCCACTGAAGGTATTGTAGCCAAGAGAGCTGGATATGAAGGAAGGACAATAGGCGAGAAAATAATTCTTTCATGACCAAAGAGAGGTATGATGATTGTAAAAGGCAGAAGAGTGGAGTAAAGGTTGTGAGGTCATGGTGAATAGGGAATCGAAATTACAAAGCGAGGTGAGAATGAAGGGGGGGGAAGAGGAGGAATGAAGAAGCTTATCTGATGGTGAGATGGGGGGGAGGGAAAGGGAAGGGAGAGAGGAGGGGGGCTGTTAATATATGAGGATGTAGGCGAGAAAGAATTGTGAGCGTTGTGCAAAGGTAAAGCAGGACAGACACTGTCTTGTCCGGGTGTTGGTGGTGTAGGCTTGAGGTATCGAACGTGTGAGTCGGTATCACAAATGGATCATCGGAGTTAGACGCGAGTAGTTAGCGAAGGTGCGGAGCATCCCACTAGATTGGCTGGGTTGGGCGATTGTATCCCAAGGGTGCATAGGCGCTAAGAACAGCCCGCAGCACCATAATTTCATTCATGGCTTTCATGCTGAGCTGAGACAGCCAAACGATGCAAGAGTAGCTTGTGTTAATGCAAAAGCAGCTGTACCTCCGACAGAGAAAACCAGAGAGGCTCGAACCATAAAGGACAGCAAGGTCTGTTATAAATATACTTCTGTTGTAACCTGCATTCATCCTATCAAGATCGGGTAGAGATAAGCACCCAACTTTAGGTTGGGTGTATATCTAGGGTTAACCCAATGTTGGAGTTGAGACCCAACCTTAGGCCCAAAATATTGGACCCCAAAGGTTGGGTTGGGAACATTATTGGTCCCCCGCTCCAATAATGTTGACCCAACTCAAAGTGGTCAACATTATTGGAGGCCCACCAATAATCTCCCACCCATCTTATTGGGGGCCTCCAATAATGTTGGCCACCTCCCCCCTTTTCCTCTCCAACTATGTAAACCCTAGCTATTCCTAATCTAATCATCCAATTCTCTTCAAACTTCATTTACCACATGGTATAGAGCTCCCCCAAGATCCTAAGTTCCTCTTTCCTTTAAGGGCCCACCCCGCCGTCGCAACCCCCTGCCTCCCTCCTCAGATTTTTTTTTGCCGCCGCGACCATCGTCGCCGCTGCATCCCGCGCCATTGCTGCCGCAGCTCCAATTGCCGCAACCGCACGCGCACTCCCCTCCGCGGCCCTGGCTCGCCGCGTCCCGCGCCGTCCACGCCATCCCCTTCCGCGCCCCCCCCCCTGCCCGCCGCATCCCCTCCCGCGGCCTCTGCCCGCCACGTCCCGCGCCGACGCCGTTGCGGCCCACGCCGCCACCGCCGTCCGCGCCATCCCCTCCCGCGGCCCCTGCCTGCCGCGTCACGCGTTGACGCCACCGCGGCCAACGCCGCAGTCGCCGTCCGCGCCATCCCCTCCCGCGGCCTCTGCTCGCTGCGTCATGCACCGCCGCCGCCGCGGCCCGCGCCGCCGTCGCCGACTACGCCATCCCCTCCCGCGGGTCCTACCCGCCGCACCCTGCGCAGAGGCCACCGCAACCCGTGCCACCACCGCCGTCCGCGCCATCCCCTCCCGCGGCCCCTGCCTGCCGCGTCACGCGCCGACGCCACTGCGGCCCACGCCGCAGCCGCCGTCCGTGCCGTCCCCTCCCGCGGCCTCTGCTCGCCGCGTCACACGCCGCCGCCGCCGCGGCCCACGCCACAGCCGCCGCCCACGCCTTCCCCTCCCGCGGCCTCTGCCCACCGCGTCCCACACCGGCGCCGCCACGGTCCGCGCCGCCATCACCGACTGCGCCATCCCCTCCCGCGGCTCCTACCCGCCCGCGTCCTGCGCAGACGCCGCCGCGGCCCGCGCCGCTGCCGCCGTCCGCGCCATCCCCTCTCGCGGCCCCTGCCCGCCGCGCCCCGCGCCGACGCCGCCGCGATCTGCGCTGCCGCCGCTGTCCGAGCCATCCCCTCTCCCGGCCCCTGCCCGTCGCGCCCCACGCTGACGCCGCCACGGACCACACCACCGCCCGCCGTCCGCGCCATCCCCTCCCGCACGCCACCACCCGCGCCCCCCCCTTTTTTGACCGCTACGGGTCCACCCGTAGTCGTCACCCATGGCTACCGTCCCGCCTCCTCCTACCCCACTCCCTCCCCCTATCGGCGTATCCTCCGTTGACAAACTCCAGCTAGCCGCGGACAAGTCCGCAATCAACTGGCACTCCTTCGTGGGGAGCATCCGTCGCGTCCTCAAAGATGCATGGATTCCTCCTTATTGCGTTCTTGACGTCCTCTTTCGTTGCCCAAATGCTCTCCCCCCTACTATGCCCGACCACCCCGGCGAAACTCCACCCCTTCCCCCCCCTCCCGGTACTCCTCCTCCTGAACCCGAGCTCCAAATCGCCGCCACTCCTGAGCTCCAAGCCACTGCCAATGCCGCCTTCCTCCTCAGCCGCCGCGAATATCTCATCCGCAAAGCCGACTATGACACCGCGGCCGACAACTACGCCCAAGCCGTTGCTGGCCGTGATGCTCATCTCGCTGTACTCGCCAAAGTACAACGAAGACATGGCTGCGTACACCCCCAAACTCATCGCCTGGTTCGCCGCCGACAACCGTGCCTGCACCGTCCTTCTTGGGGCCCTTCCCGACATCCTCATGCGTCGCTTCCAGGCTTGGGAACTCCGCGCTTCCGTTATCTGGACGGAACTGCATGCGATGTTCGAGCGCCGTGACATCAGCTCAGTTGGCATCCTCTTCCAGGAGTATTTCTCCATCACGCTCGCCACTTGTGACGGTGCTGTCGATTTCGTAGGATGTATGCCGGAGGTCGCCGATCGTCTCGAAACCCGCCAAACCGGCCTTTCTGAACCTCTGAAAATCCACTGCCTACTCTTCAAACTCACTCCGGACTATGAGTCCCGCCTCCATGCCTTTACCGAAGCCAACCCCATGGCTGACCTCGGCTCCGTCGAACAATGGATCATCGACACTGAGGTCAAGCTTCGCACCCCCCTCGTCAACCTCACCACCTCTCAGCCCTCCTCCTCCTCCCTCAATACCACCCAGCCTCGCAAGCAGACCAGCCGCAACGGCAGAGGGGGAGGTGGGGGCAAAGGTGGCAACGGTCGTGGTGAAGGAAGCTGTGGCGGAAGCAACCGTGGCAATGCAGCTAGTGAAGACCAT